TGAGACAGAGCTGGTGACATTCAAGCGCTATTACCTATTATTAAGGCTGAGAACATGTTAATAATAATAGTAATTTTATTATTTGTACCCCTCCCATCTGACTGGGTTACCCCAGCCACTCTGGGCAGCTTCCAGCATTTACAAAAACATAATAAAACATTAAAAACTTCCCAACACAGGGCTGCCTTCACAGTTCTTCACATCTGATGGGAGGGCGTTCCACAGGGTGGGCGCCACTACCGAGAAAACCCTCTGCCTGGTTCCCTGTAGCTTCACTTCTTGCAGCAAGAGAACCACCAAAAGGACCTCAGAGCTTCCTAAACAAAGGAATCCTTGCGGCTGCTGCATTAAACACTGGTAAGCCCTGACTACCCATGTGAAATGGAAAGGGGCACTACAAGGCAGAAGTACATATGCTGATCTGGTATATTCTGGGTCAATGTCTGCTTTGCAGTCAACCAGCGCTTTCAGAGTCAAGCTGGGGGGGAAACGAAGAAACCATGCCTGTGTATATACAGCAAGCAGAACTATCAGCAAAAACAAATCTCTCTCTGCAGTTCCCTGAAAGAACTCCATCAAACCTAATAGCTGGCCTTGCGGGAACTGCCCAACTTTTGTAACCCTGGCCTTGAGCAGCAACTAGGTCACCAAATCAAGGGGAAATACTAGACAGCTCTGAGGGAACTTGTGACTCCACATCCTAATGCTGCAGAAGAGTCTGCCACACAGCCCAGCACAGATACTGCCAGAACCACCACCAACCCAAACCCTCCCCACCCAAAGCTTCGCAACCCAAGACACCAATGACTCCATAGGGAAGATAAACAAATAGTATAGAGGTTTGTAAACCAACACTGTGTGGGTGGAGTTCTACTCAAGCAATGGGGCTGCCCCTTTCTCAAATCCTCCCTGCAGGCTCCCCGTGCCTCCAATATCTGTTCTGGAGGGGGCCCCCAACGGTTTGGAGCTGATTTCAACAATGCATGGGGGAATGGAGAACGGTCTGTTCCATCGCACAAGCAATGTTCCACTGGATACAGTTCATAGCATAACAACCCCACTTAAGACATTCAGTCCACATGAGGGAGTGGCACCTGTGACAGGTAGCAGGGCCCACAAGGAAGATGTTATGAGTGTGGCTATGGAACCTGTTCGAGCCAACTGTCCACTGGCTGGAAATCATTTTGGAAGCTGCAGAACTGCCTCATCTCATGTTGACCACCTCCATGAAATTCCAATGGACTTATGTATTGGGGGCTCCTAATCACTTACGGGAGGATAGCCCAATGAGCGACCCCTGAGGCTTTTTGGAAGCCCCTCGGGAATGTTTGGTGCCTCCAGCCCTTGCTCTGCCTTCCCCAAGGTGGGTGAGTGAAGTGCTGAGCCCCCAGAGTTTTGCCTTCCCAAAGTCAAATTAGCGCTTTCCCAGCTTTGGAAAGGAGATGAGAGGGCTACCCCTGAACATATGGGGAAATAATATCTGGGATATAGCAATGTCTGAGCGTCACCAGACACAGGATGGCAGACACATTCGAGGCATAACAGACAGCTTTCAAGAAATGTGGAGCCTTTTCTTTAACTATGTTAATGACCAAAAATCAAGACCTTTCCTATACCAACTGCTCAATATTCTCAGTGGAGGGGTTACGTTAAGCCGTATTTTTTGCTCTATAAGACTCACTTTTTCCCTCCTAAAAAGTAAGGGGAAATGTGTGTGCGTCTTATGGAGTGAATGCAGCCTGCGCAGCTATCCCAGAAGCCAGAACAGCTTTCACTGCGCAGCGATCCCTCTTGCTGTTCTGGCTTCTGAGATTCAGAATAATTTTTTTCTTGTTTTCCTCCTCCAAAAATTAGGTGCGTCTTGTGGTCTGGTGTGTCTTATAGAGCGAAAAATACGGTACTATGTTTGAATGTTGAAAGTGTATGTAAAACAAACCCCATTATATGTACTGCTGGAGAAGTGTTTAATGGTTATTGTATTTGTATTTTTAAAAAACTAATTAAAAATGTGTTTGGTTTGGTTTTTAAGGAGATAGGAGGGCTCTAGGACCCTACCAGAGCCTTGTGCCTCTTTCCCAGAGCCTGGCACCTTGCTTTGGGAAGGCACAATGAGGGCTGGAGGGACGGACTGTCAAATTTTGGCCTTGCCCCTCACCCCACGTGACAAGGCAGTGTGTGGCCCCGGGATTCTGGTTCAAAGTACTCTTGCAGCCCACTTGATGTGAAAAATTGAGCCACCCTGATTTATGAAGTAATCTCAATTTAACACCTCCCTGCAGGTTCGGATTTGCTAAATCTGGATTAGCCGAGATTTATTAAGACCATAAACTACTAGAAGTTTGTGCTCTCACTCCTCCCACGAAGATCTGTATCACAATTACTAATTGCTCTGTGGCCTCTTTCTGGAATGTTTTCAAAGAAGGGTTGTGTTTCTTTCTTTCATTTCCTTTCTAAAAATATAAAATTACACATATTTGTGTAAGCTTCCAGAACCCATGGAATTAATGTGAAATGTAAACCTAAATGTTTAAATAAAATGCCCTTGGGATTTGGGGGGGAGGGCAAAATGCAACCATGATATTGTAGTTTTTCTCTCTTTTTTTTGGCCTTCAAGAATATCACTGACATTTACTCACTTGAGATATAGAAAACCGATCAAGATAATCATTTCTGATCTATAGCATATTATGCATTCTCACCAATACAGAACATACAGTGGCATGACAAATGATCATTCAGCAGATTAAAACGGAAAAAGAGATATAAGCACAATCTATTATAATGAACTGGGAAGTGTTGTAAAAACCACTCTATAAACACTGCAGAGGAAGGAAAGACGATGCTAAGTCTACAGAAGTCTGTGGTTTCGTTAAATGTTTTGTTTCATCCCTCCCTCCCCCCCCCCCATATTGGATTTTCCATTGAGATTTTAAGCTCTGTGTATTATTTGTAAGCCTTCTTGGTTTTGGTTTAATGAAAGATAGAATAAGAATGCAGTAAATACGGGACAAGGAAACAATTTTATTGCATTCTTTCCAATACAAGAGCTGCCTTCTCCCTTTTTCAGGAAGATTTCATTTTCCTGTTTTTGAACTTGCTCGGCTTTTTAGAAGAAACACATATTTGAGTAAAGTCTATTGGTTTTAATCACTCTATGGAAAGCTAAGGGAAGGGATTGATAAAAACGGCCAGTTTTCTGTTGAATACAGCTCTAATATTCCATCATCATGGCACCCAGCACATCAAACCAACTCACTATTAGATGTTCCACCATCTAAGAGCCAGCAGTAGGTTAGACAAAGTTCAAGAGCACGCCATCCAACCATATTGCCACTCTATTTTCACACTATCATTATGCTTTGAAAGACTTCGCAGGCATATTCTAGTTTCACATGCATGAAGGCCTGAGTAAATATGTCTCCAAGCTGTATCATTCCGAGGTACTCATCATCACTAACACAAAAAGAAAACCTTGCCAAAAACAGATCCTCATTCTGGTTTGCTAGCATCAAAGAGAACCAATTTCTGTACATTCAAATACAAGCACCTGTATGTAACTCGTGAAATAAATATTAAATTGGTCCCAAATGGGGTGGCCAGATTCCTAGCTCAGGTTCCATTCAGAACTCATATATGCAGCTCATGAAACAGCTGCATTAGCTGCCAGTTTATTTCTGGGTCCAATGTGAGTAAGATGCTCACACTAGTGTTCAAAACCCTAAATAACTTAGGGTCCAAATATGCGAGAGATCCCAGCTTTCTTTACAGACTCAGGTGTTAAGATCAGCAGCAGTAGAGAGGGGTGTCTTGGGAGTTCCACTGCCATTACCCAGGTGGGGTGGTTTGGGTGAGGGAATTCTATATGGTAGCTCCTAAATTGTGGAATTCACTCCCCACACAGGAAATGCTGAAGATGCCTTTGACACCCGAAATTTATATTTTTAGGATCCACCTTACTTACTTAAAGTAAGAGATTCTAACTTACTTTAAACTGTTTTAAAGGGTGGGCAACAGATATTAAATTATATTATTAGTGGCAACAACTAGTATCTGCAATCTAGTTAAGACTTCCATGTTTACATACCGTATTTTTTGCTCTATAAGACTCACTTTTTCCCTCCTAAAAAGTAAGGGGAAATGTGTGTGCGTCTTATGGAGCGAATATTTTTTTTCTTGTTTTCCTCCTCCCAAAACTAGGTGTGTCTTATGGTCTGGTACGTCTTATAGAGCGAAAAATACGGTATTTTCTAACTGAAATACATGAGTGGAAATCAGACAAGACTCCAGAGCCTAAAAGCTGCTTCCACGTGATTTTCTCCAATTCTCCTGTCATTACCTCCCAGGCCTTCCTGGGAGTTCAAAAACCTGAAGCTTGAGTGGCAAGGGGATACGGGGAGGTCCACTGGAGAAGCAGCTAGGCATTTTCCATTGCGCAAATGGAATTTCACTGGCCCAGTTCCCAGTGCCATGCAGGCAACCCTGGGTAACATAAATTTTAAAAAAATTATAACCCACTTTTCACCCTCTAAGTCTCAAAGTGGCTTACAACAGCAACAACATACAAAAATACCTAATTTAAATATAAATTAAAAACTCAGAAATTCAAACAAAACACTAGAGTAGAGGCATCAAGGATATCAAGCAATCAGTGCCCTCTCTTTGGCAGGAGTTTAGCATTGGTGTAAAAACAAGAAAGAATGTTTATGTATAATATCATACGTAACACACAGCCTCCAGGATTGTTCCATTTTAACAACAACAACAAAAAGGTTTACTTTTATCAATATTCAACACATTAAATTAATAACATTTCAATATCTAAATAAAGAGACACTATGTAACTCTTTCAAAAAAAACCTTATGGAAAAGATAAACAATCCATTTAGTCTAGTACTCAAAACATCCTTCTTCCGCTAATGGCTATTCTGTAATTTCACAAATATATTGATTTGTAAAACGTGCATATTTTAAATAAGACATTTCAACATAAAGCCTCTTACCTTTAAATAAGATCCATAGTATTTGGTAACATATGGACTGTCGCACTGACTCAGCACTGTAATCTCTTGTTGAATGTCTTCTATTTCATCTTCGGCTTCTTCAAGATCAATAATTTTTATAGCAACAACTTTCTGACTTTGATTGTCAATTCCTTTAAAAACTTCGCCAAATGAACCTTTGCCGATCTTCTCCAGCTTTGTAAAGAGCTCTTCTGGATCTGCTTTCAGATTCTGCAGAAATACAGAAAAGAAAAACAACACCTTTGATTTTATGATTCTGAGTTCTTGAAGGCATGTCCACTCAGAAGTGAGACTTGCTCCCCAGTAGCATACACAGGATTATGGCGTCAAATAATTTAATTTACACTGCAGATCTCAGTTCAGTACAAATATTCTAGGTTGACAGTTTAAATACAATCGTTTCAAACAAACATGAAAAGGCCTATTCTATGTTCAAACTATTTGCAAACAAGTTTTCGAACTTCAATTTTGTAATATTCTCCTTCCTAGATACTGAGTCCCATGTGATCTACCAGCAAAAGCAGGGTCATCCCTAAATGAAGTGCCAGAATCCCAATGTCTAAATGAACCCAAAATTTCCATTGTGAAAACCAAAGTTCTATGCCAACCACAAGATAAAGAATAGGACGATCTGCGCCTAAGAATTTGGATTTATAGAGCTGTTGCAGTTGAGGGGTTGAAAAATTAAGGTGATTTCGGCAAGTAAAATGTATGCTGGTTAAAAGTAATAGGGCAGAAAGGAGGGTGATCTTAGGAAGACAAGTGTGTTAGAAAGGCAGTAATTCCATTTTACTCATTATAATTCCATCCCCCAAGTTACTAGGGGCCGAGTCTAGCTTACACTGCCAATGTATGCTGTCATACTACATAATATACATTATACTTCCTCAATATAGTGCCCTCCAGATAATTTGGACCGCAACTCCCATCAACCCGCTAATGTAACTTCCACCAACCCTGAATGTTGGCTATCAAGTTGAGGAAAGCTGAAACAGCCTCACATATAGGATTGTTGCTGCAGTTGTAATACAGTGCATGTGTGCATCATGAGAACTTTGTTCCATGAATGCATGCTGTGCAGCTTCATACAATTCCACCTTTTAATAACAGAAAAGCATAGAAATGGCTGACATCGTTTACAAGGCACATTTAAGAAGCCCACATGTGCTTGGCCGTAACACATGCAGAGAAACAAAGCCCCGAGCACAATCTGGATCCTTCCCCTTCAAATGACCGGCTTCCATGGTGCCCAAACTAACCTCAAGGCATCACAGTATGCGAGATGAGGGTTGATGCATTGAGATCAAGCAAAGGTACGTATAGCTTGAGTTGACTAGTAGTGGACACCACAACTACCCTGGCCAACTGTCAAATTAACTAATTAATTAATTAGAACTCTGCCACATTATCGAAACTACTGTCTCTGAGAAGAACTCAGTTCTTCCTAGAAGGTCAATGGAACATTGTGCTAAATTTTATGCAAACTACTACTCAGCAGTAACAGAAAGTGTTGATGAAGCATCTAGCATTAGCTTTAAAACACAAATTACATGGCCAGAGAAAACAGAGACTGTTTTCTACCAGTTTTCCAAAAGTGTCAAATCTGAATATGACTAAAGGCATTATGATTATGAGCCACCCATCTGACTGGGTTACCCCACCCACTCTGGGCAGCTCCCAACAAAATATTAAAAACACAATAGAACATCAACCATTAAAAACTGAACAGGGCCACCTTCAGATGCCTTCCAAAAGTCAAATAGTTGTTTATCTATTTGATATCTGACTGGAGGGTGTTCCACAGGGAAGGAGCCACTACCAAGAAGGCCCTCTGCCTGGTTCTCTGTAATGTCGCTTCTCACAGTGAGGGAACGGCCAGAAGGCCCTCAGACATTTTAGGACATTTATATTCCACTCAAGGTGGTATACTAGGCACTAATAGAGCCTGCTTACTTTCTGCAAGGCCTTCTTAGACCATATCCTGGGACCAATCTTCTATCCTGTTCAAAAATAACAAGGGCCATCAAGTCCACAATATAAGCACTAACCACACAAAGAAGAGTCCCAAGGCCTGTTCCCTCTCTCCCAGCAATGTAAATGTACCACAAGACTGGGGCTGTGAAGTTTCTATATACACCCCCCTCATATTCCCACTCATTTTTACAAGTGGCTTCCATAAGAGTATGTACCGGTATATAAATGCCAAACTGAACATTTCTGTTTAACTATGGAATAACTAGCTAAGAGCAACAGAGCTGCACACAAACATGCTAATAAGAAGGGGGCATATGTGCTTTCTCTGGGGAGGCAAGTTTTCTATTACAAACAGCTATAAAGTTTTACATTTTCAGCTTTACAGCAGAGCTCCACAGAACCAGATTCGCAGAACTAACTGAAAGAGCTATTAAAATTGATGAGAATGTAATCCTTTACTGTGTGTGCTTTATTCAAGCTTATAATTAGCCAGCAGAGCATATGAATTACTCCCAGGCAACTAGGCCCAAAAACTTTCTAAAAGTTGGGGTTCTTTTTGGGGTTTTCCCCAACTACAAAAAAAGAGCAGTCAAACCAAGATGGTGTTTGTGTGTGTGTGTAAAACTAGTTTTTGCTAACTTATTTCCAAGACTCATAGTTTCAATAACGTTACCAACCCTAGAGGGATATGGCTAATTGACAATATAAATTAGCGTTAAGACAAACAGGTAACCAACAAAAACTAGCAGTGAATTCAATACCTAAAGTACATATAGAAAAGCAAAACACAAACAAGATTATTATTGTTATCTGATTATAGCAGCAAGTGTAGAAAGAGGCATTTCTGAGGATTGGTTAGAAAAGAGATACATTATATTCGGTGAAATTTACAGTATTTGTGAGGTCAGTGAGAATGCTAAGATTAAGACTCGTTACAGTAAAAACTGTAATTGTATTGGAACAGATATGATCAAAATGTTCCTATGGAAATATTGTTATCTTAAAAGAGGCATAATTCCCTTTTGCCATTCAAAACAGGATGATTAATTTAAGGGAAAATGTGCTTAGATTATATATTGTCTACAGTTATCACTATTTTCGGTTCCCTTTCCATGACAATGCGCCACCACATGAACTATAAAATGTATGTTTTGCAGATCTATACAGGGTTTCAGAAAACACAAATCTAGAAAACAGAGCCTCTGAGTTTAACCAGGAAATTCTAGTGCTGCATCTTGGCCACTCTCTTGCACCTGTCCCCTGCAACTCTTGTCTAACCTGTTTTAGTCAAGAACTTCACCAGATTTCAAAAGGAGGAACCATATCCTCCCTAATCCCCTGTGTCCTTTAACCCAGCTGATCACATGATGTCAGCAACCCTACAGGGCTTCAAATGACTTCTCTCCAGTGGTTCCCAGTAGCTGGTCGTGAATAATCCCTTGTTACTCAACAACCTCCAAGACCTTTTCTGAAACAGATGTTGCCCTCCTTGCAACGCACCATTTATGAAGCAGCTCGTCAAAAGCAGTACAAGGCAGCACCCTACCATCATTTCTATAGGCCCAGTCCAACTTGTAAAAAATGCCTCCTCCCTTCCAAAATCTATTGTCCGTTTTGAAAACACTTGAGGATTGACTGCTGTTCCTCAGCTTCTTTTAGTCCCCTGTATTCAAACCCCTTGCATTTTTGACCACCTGACTTGCAATAATAATAATAATAATAATAATAATAATAATAATAATAATACCCACACATCTGGCCGGGCCTCCCCAGCCACTCTGGGCGGCCCCCAACAGAATATTAAAAACACAGTAATACATCAAACATTAAAAACTTCCCTAAACAGGACTGCCTTCAGATGTCTTCTAAAAGTCAGATAGTTGTTGGATTTCCTTGACATCTGATGGGAGGGCGTTCCACAGGGAGGGCGCCACTACCGAGAAGGCCCTCTGCCTGGTTCCCTGTAACTTGGCTTCTCGTAGTGAGGGAACCGCCAGAAGGGCCTCAGAGCTGGACCTCAGTGGATGGTGGTGGAGACACTCCTTCAGGTATACTGGGTCAAGCCGTTTAGGGCTTTAAAGGTCAGCACCAACACTTTGAATTGTGCTCGGACAGAGCTGCAAGGCATGCATGTATATAAACACAAATGCACTGGCAAATGCCATTTAGAGCTGATTCTATTTTTAGAATCTGCAGTGGTACCTCTGGTTATGAATTTAATTCGTTCCGGAGGTCTGTTCTTAAGCTGAAACCATTCTTTACCTGAGGCACCACTTTAGCTAATGGGGCCTCCTGCAGCCGCTGTGCCACCGCCGCGCAATTTCTGTTCTCATCCTGAGGTAAAGTTCTTAAACCGAGGTACTACTTCCGGGTTAGCAGAGTCTGTAACCCAAAGTGTTTGTAACCCAAGGTACAATTGTAATCTCCATTCGTATACAGATATTAGGGGACCAGCGGCCTAACACATACCTCAAGGAGTGCCTCTCTCCTCATGAACCAACCCAGAACCTGCACCTGAGGCCCTTCTTTGGGCTTACTCTCCACAGCAAGTGTGCAGGGTGGCAACATGAGAACAGTCCTTTTCTACTTGTGGAATGGCTCTCCCCAACGAAGCATGCCAGGAGTCATTGCTGTGCTTCTAGGTGCCAGGCAAAACCCTGGCACCTAGAAGACCCAGGCTTATGGTTTGTAATTGCCAAGGCAGTTACTGTGGCCTTTGTGGGACTTATCCTTTAAGTGGTGTGGGTAGGACTTGTTCCTTTTAAATTCAGTGCTGGAATGAGTGTTTAAGGTTTTGTTTATTGCTGTTTTTACATTATTTCAATCCCTTCCATTTTTATTTTTGCTGTGCAAGTTGCTTTGAGGGGCCTGGGTGCAAGCAGTAACAATCACAGCTACAACTCACATCTGTGCTGGAATCTATTTACTAAATGAGCACTATTGGTCTCACCTGTCCCTGAGATCTGACTGTCCACAATAGTTTTTCTTTGTTTTTCTCTTGCTATCAGTCACTTACTACACCCCTGTTAACTCCTAAGTGTCTGCGCCCAGGAAATGCCAAGCAGGAATTAAAAGAACTCTGGGCCATGTCATTTTTGAGCATGTCGCTTAAACTCTACCAGTACTAGAGTTTCCTGTAGAAGCAGCCTCCCTCCATTCTAGAGGGCAGTACCTCACTCTTCCAAACCCTGCTTGCTCTTTTTGGCTTCTGATTGGCTCCAGAGCCTCACAAGATCCAGAAACTCCAGTGTACTGGGAAATAAGTTTGCATAAAAACCCTCAAGCATGATATGTAATGCAGCCTCAACACTTTACCTCATAATGATGGGCTTGTAGTCTCAGCTGTGCCCCAATAAAATATACCTGCTTGTTTCCAAGTAGAGAACAAGGAAGCACGTTTCTGCTTCCCATTTTTGGCATAGTTACAGAAGAAAAGGCAGCTCAACTCTCGGGGCCCCTTTCTAGCCAAGGCACAGCCAACCCATTCAGATCTACTGCGGCCTGCAAAGAACAGAAAGCTGCAGTCTGGGTTAGTTCTGCTACTCAGCTTGGCTGAGAAGAAAGTTCTCTCTTGTGCATGTAGTCACTTATCCCTTGGTCTGGTGAAACACAGGCCTTCTTCCCTCGCACCACTTCTCCTTGGTAGGCCATAGCAACACCAGGCCAGAATAGGAAGGCCTACATGTCTGCCACCACTCCCTGGGATCCTGCAGGCCATCAAAATGCAGCGCTCTTGAGTTTGGAAAACCAGACTCGCGTCTCAACATACAAAATAGGAATGCACATCTGAATTCACAGCAGAGTTCTTCTTCCCTGTTTGCCACACACACTCAAAGAGATGTTATTTTATGCTACTTAATGCAAATACTACGACACTACAGATGCAAAACAAGTTTCAAAGAAGTTTTCCAGAGAGATGGAAAACTCACGGGTAATAATAAATGAGGCCAAAGATGGACTACTTCCTTAAAGCATGAAAAGAATTCCTGAAACGGCTAGTATTTTAAATACTGTACATAATATTTGTCCCCCCCCCAACAAATATTACTTCAAGGAGGCCATATATGGATTTTGCTAACAAACAAAAAAATAAGGGAGGAAAACTTAAGGTAAAACTCCCTAAATCACACTCATTCACTCTCTGTCTCTCTCTCTCTCTCTCTCACACACACACACACCACACCAGCCAAAAAGTTACCTCTTTGTACCTTTTTATAAACCTCATACACTACCTGACCCTTACCCAGATGTGATGACCATGGTCATCTATGTGCCTTAACTGTAGTGGATCAGAACATGGGTTTTTTGTGAGGGGCATTGTTGCTGTTTCTAAAGGGAGCCCTTTAAAAGATCTTGGCCACAGGAAACACACCTGCATTACTGCTAGCCGCTCCCAGGTGACAGCAGAACCCAAAACAAATTAAGGGTTGCCCCTTAATTTAAAACAGCAAACTATCCGGATTGTACCTTGAGCGAGGCACCAACCCCCTCCCTTTGCAAGGGGCGGCCTGAATAGTTAGCAGAGCAGGAGATTCTTAAATTTCAGGGTCTTGGGTTCGAGCCCCACGTTGGACCAGGAGATTCCTGCCCAGCAGGGGGTCGGCCTAGCTGACCCTCGAGGTCCCTTTCGAGACTGCATTTCTAGCAGTCTGTCCCCTCAACACCCCCCCCTGCTCATTTAGACGCTCCCGCCAGCTCCTTTACAAGTTAGACAGGTTCACCCAGCCCCCACCCTCACCCAACCCAATGTTAGCACCCCCGGGGATGAAACAAACCCCTGCATACCACTAAATTAGCCCGGGGGGAGGAGGAAGTGTGTGTGTGTGTGTGTGTGTGTGTGTGTGTAAAGGACCGTCGTCCCCCCCTCAAAAAACCCCAGCTCCCCCTCTGCGTTCCCATTGGGGGGGGCTCTTGGATTGCAGTTTGAAGCCCATGCAGGGAGGTGGGTTAGGACGGGGGGAGAGCCCGGAGGCGGCGGCTGGTTTCTCACCTGCATGCCCGGCAGGCCAGGCTGCTGCACCGGGGAGTGAGCCATGATGACGGAAGCGGCAGAGGCAGCGCTGCTACCGCCCCTCCTGCGCGCGGGCCCCTCTCCTTTCCTCCTCTCTTGCCTTCCTTCCCTCCTCCTCCTCCTCCTCTCTCTCGAAGCAGCTCCAGGAACGGAAGGATTCACCTCAGCCCCATCCCCAGCCAGCACCCGCTTGCTCCTTCCCCCTCGTGCACCCCCGATCCACCAGGGCTAGGCGAGCTACCAGCCGACTACGGAAGGGACGGACGGGCGGGCGGGCGGGCGGGCGGAGGACTCCCGGGTCTCTGTGCGCCTGTGCGCGCGCGCAAGCCAGCGAAGAGGGCGGGCAGGCGCACAACACAGCCGGGTTTGGGAAAGGGGTGAACCTGGAGGAGGAGCGAATCCTGACCCTCCTCCTCCGCGCACGGGTCCGTAAAGGGAAAGGACGAGGCCACGAGGAGGAGCCACGCTTCTCGCGCAGCCCAGCCGGGCCTATTGGCGCGCGGCGACGGGGCGGGCGAGGTCGGCGCCCCTCCCTTCCTCCCCAAAAGAGTTCTGTGAAAACTCGGAAAGCGAACTCGCTTGGAGATGGTTCAGATGCACTATTCATATGCATATATACATATGTCTTGCCCGCATCAACCTCTGCAACCACAGCGCTTGGCTTCGCCCCCGATGGCGCACTCTTCCAATCACAGGGCTGAGGTCCCTTCGGCCCCCCAAATAAAATATATGCCCTTAAAGTTGATGGGCATTGCCATTCAAATTTTGTGTGTGTCGTCTTGGGATCTATTTTGCAGGAAGGGGCTTACCCGCCCCCTCCCCATATTTTATTCAGATCGGCCCCCTTGTTTCTCAGATGGACGGATGCCAATATATAGGTCCCAGTCGAATCGAACTCTTGATGACAAATGTCTCCGTTTGTGTCGTGTGTTTTCCCAACTCCACTTTCGCTCCTCCCTTTCGTGTGACCCTGGGCCATTCGGAAGTGGGCGGAGCCAGGCGCAGCTGACGGGGTGATTGCCAGGATCCTGAGGAGGGCGGCGGGAGGGAGAGGGCGCAGCTGCGCGCAGGGCGCGCGTCCTCCTCTTCTCCCCCCCCCCGCCTTCCCAGCACCCTTTTCCCGGATTGGGGAGCGAAATCGGTGCAGGAATTCGCACGCGCTGACCTTGAGATTCGATTCAGGAGGCATCTGCGGCGAGCAGGTGCATGGCTTCTTCAGCTCTGCTGTGTGGAAATGGACTGCCGCAGTTATGGCTGTTTTAGGTCCACTATTCATCCAGCTAGCGGTTTAGAAGTCGTGCAGGTTTTCTAGTGCCACGGTCTCCATAGCTAAGTGTGTGTTTTCCTTCTCTCTCAGCCCAAGCCAGCTAAGCGAGAGGCTACTTGCAAGTCTGCCTTACAAAAAGCACACTTCAGTTAACTGTCCTGTGTGTTTCATGCTCAAAGGGATCTGGTGCAAGGGCAAAAGAGGAAAAAAGAAAGACACAGATTGAGAAGAAGATACGGTAGTTATGCTGATCTCAGACGCTCCCACTGTCTCTATTTTCCAGGAACAGTCCCAGATTTACAGAAGCCATCCAGGTTTCTGATTTGACCCCAGAATGTCCCGCTTTTCCTTAGGACGTCCCTATTTCATTGGAGAAATGTTGGAAGATATGGAGTTAAGTGAGCCAAGAAGATAAGTAACCTTTAGAAGACACCTGAAGGCAGCCCTGTACAGTGGTACCTCGGGTTACATACGCTTCAGGCTACATACGCTTCAGGTTACAGACTCTGCTAACCCAGAAATAGTGCTTCAGGTTAAGAACTTTGCTTCAGGATGAGAACAGAAATCGTGCTCCAGCGGCGCGGCAGCAGCAGGAGGCCCCATTAGCTAAAGTGGTACTTCAGGTTAAGAACAGTTTCAGTTTAAGTATGGACCTCCGGAACAAATTAAGTACTAATAATAATAATAATAAATTTCATTTATATCCCGCCCTCCCCAGCCGAAGCCGGGCTCAGGGCGGCTAACAACAATAAAATAGTGCAACATTCTAAAAACCTTTCATTATAAAAATTAATTAAAATCCAATTGATGGCAACCAACTTAACCCGAGGTACCACTGTATAGGGAAGTGTTTAATGTTTAATATGTTGTTATTTATATGTTGGAAGCTGCCCAGAGTGGCTGGAGCAACCCAGTCAGGTGGGCAGGGTATAAATAATACAATAATTATTATTATGGAATAGGACATCCCTGTTTTCGTCGGAGAAATGTTGGAAGGTATGTGATCTCAGGTAGCAGGTTATCCATTCTGTTCTTCTGTGTGGGGCTAATTGACAGAGACGGGCAATCAATTTCCTAACAACTCTTCATGCGGTTATAATTGCCTACATTCCTTTCTTGGGATGATCAATTAACCATTATCAGAAGTTTCTGTTTTAATGCAATAAAAGTGTCACACCCACAACATCAACGCTTACACCAGTGTTTCCCAACCGGTGTTCCGCGGCACACTAGTGTGCCGCGAGATGTTGCCTGGTGTGCCGCGGGAAAAATTAAAAAATTCGAAAGATATCCGGAGAGGCGGCCTTCAGGCGAGTTTTAATTTTAATTTTCCTTCTCCCACTTAATGCCCCACGCTCGCCCGAGCAGCTTGCAGTCCTCGGTAACCATGGCGACCCGAGGGAGGGGAGGGAACAGGGAAGTCGAGGGCGGCTGCGAGCCGCGATGACGTCAGTGGGCCGCGCCGCCTCGCCCTGGCACGGTGTGAGAGCCCCAGCTAGTGGCGCGAGCTTCGGAATAAGTGGGATCCGCGTGCGCGAGACCGAGATCGCGGGTAAGGAGCTCAGCCCTGGGCAGGAGGAAGCGGGGCCGCGCGTGCGGGCCACATCCCCACAGAGAGCGAGCCTCCCCGGCCCACCACTCCGGGCAGGTCCACTCGCATGAGGGGGCGGCGATGGCGACGGCCGGCAGCTTGCCTGCAATGCCATCCCTCGAGCAGGCGAGGAGCCCGGAGGCTACCAGATGCGAGTCCTCTTTCCCACCCTGCTCGGGAGTCCAGAGCACTTGGTCGCATTCAGGATCTAGAGTGGGGAAGCGGGGCTTGTGTCTGGGCTGGACACATTGGGCTGCCTGTGCCGCTCGACCTGCGGGGAGAAATCAGGGTGGGAGTCACGACCGTGAGGCAGGGCTGCCAAGTGTGGCAGAAGAGGACACGGCCGTCGCACCTGTCCTTAGGTAGGAGCTTCTTCCGTGTCGACCTGCTGCCCTAAAGTCTTGGCTTTTTTCTTGGCTTTTTGGCGGTTGGCACAGAAGGAAGGCAAGGGGGAGGGAAAAAAATTGAAACTTACACTTTCGTGCGTCCCTCCCGGCGTGACGCTGCGCGCTGACGTCACGGGGCTGTAATGGTGGTGTGCCTCGAGATTTTTTTCATGAAACAAGTGTGCCTTTGCCCAAAAAAGGTTGGGAAACACTGGCTTACACAATCAAAGAGGTTGCAGATGCTTAATGACACCAAGAGGGCTGGTGTCATTAACACACTCAACCTCACTGGTTTCACAAGGGAGGCTGTCAAGATAATTCGGCTCAAGAATGTGTAGTGTTTATGCCTCACATAGAGTGGCCAGTTGGCAAAGAGGGCAGGGCTCCTGCAACTTTCATAGTTATGTAAAAGCCCCACCTGCTGAAATTCCCTCTTTTGGCATACGTCTCCATGTACTTCCAATTAAAACCCATTTGACAAGCGATCTCTTGCGACAAAAAAAGGTGGAGGGAAATGATTTTGAAGGTTCCTGAAAGGTTAGCGTTGGTTGAAATGATTGTTCCTCCTAAGCTAACTTTTCTTATTCAGAGCTTACCAATTTCAGTTTCTTTTAAACAGCTTTGGAGCTGGCAGCGGCTGCTGAATTATTTTATTTTTGCTTGCAAATGACCTAGAAAAGGTGGGAAGCTGCTGTGCTTACCTTTAAAATTGGGGGGGGGGCCTTCCTGATTTAACTAAGTATTGCCAAGCAAACCAAATTAGACATTTTGTTTCCCACACATTGGATGATACCAATAGGTGGGTACAATTAGAAACCCAAACTATTAAAGGGATCACAACTATATCATGTTTTTTTGTTTTTATTATGTATTTCGTGTTTTCATATTTTGATTTTATGTTGTAACCACCCTGAGACCTGTGGGTATAGAGCAGTATACAAATATAATACAGCGTAAAGGTAAAGGGACCCCTGACCATTAGGTCCAGTCGTGACCGACTCTGGGGTTGCGGCGCTCATCTCGCTTTATTGGCCAAGGGAGCCGGCGTACAGCTTCCGGGTCATGTGACCAGCATGACTAAGCCGCTTCTGGCGAACCAGAGCAGCGCACGGAAAGCCGTTTACCTTCCCACCAGAGCGGTACCTATTTATCTACTTGCACTTTTACGTGCTTTCGAACTGCTAGGTTGGCAGGAGCAGGCACCGAGCAACGGGAGCTCACCCCATCGCGGGGATTCGAACCGCCTACCTTCTCATCAGCAAGCCCTAGGCTCTGTGGTTTAAACCACAGCACCACCCACGTCCCTAATAATACAGCATACCCCTTCTTAAAGCATAAATTCAGAACCCATGGCTCATAGATTCATATTAGCCAAGCTAATGTGCTGGAAGGGGACTGCGGGTGTGTAGTGCCCTGCCATGTTGCTGGTGATCTCTCGCCCTTCCACTCTTTGTATCTAAATGTACTGTATATCATATTTATTATGCAACTAAGTTGAGGGCTAGGGACGCGGGTGGCGCTGTGGGTAAAAGCCTAGGGCCGATCGAAAGGTCGGCGGTTCGAATCCCCGTGGCGGGGTGCGCTCCCGCTGCTCGGTCCCAGCACCTGCCAACCTAGCAGTTCAAAAGCACCCCCGGGTGCAAGTAGATAAATAGGGACCGCTTACTGGCGGGAAGGTAAACGGCGTTTCCGTGTGCTGTGCTGGCTCGCCAGAGCAGCGATGTCACGCTGGCCACGTGACCCGGAAATGTCTCCGGACAGCGCTGGCCCCCGGCCTCTTGAGTGAGATGGGCGCACAACCCTAGAGTCTGGCAAGACTGGCCCGTACGGGCAGGGGTACCTTTACCTTTACCTTTACCTTTAAGTTGAGGGCTAAGGGGTTTTATAGGCTTTTAGGTTTCTATGTTGATGGCCAGTGGATGATTTAATTATATATTTTACTTGATCTGATCCTTCCTTCCACCCACATATGTATAGATCTCCCCAAAATCCTTCTACCAATGCTTCCGACTTTTAAGAAACTCCTATGGTCCCGGTAGCAGCAGTGTATAATTACTCCAGCCTAACATCCATGTGTCCTGGAATTTGCAGTAATGTGGCTGAAGAGAGCCCTGGTCTGTT